AATGGTGGACACACCACTCCATCTTTCACGTACTGGCATACAACTGCTTCTCCTAGCTGGTCTGTAGAACTCTGTCATATGAAATGCTGACCCCATTTTCATGCAGCATGTCGATGAGCTGCCTCTTTCTTGTCTTAGCAAACACAGACATGCCGACGTAGATAGCAAAAGGTGTCTCATGGTCCTTGTAGTGTCTGTGGATTTGTGTTCCTACCTTGTAGTTGGCAAAGCAGTTGTACTGTAAGAGCTGTGACATAGCAAGGTCAGACTTCGATGCGCCATGTTAGAGTTGGGATTTGATATCTGCACCATGTTCGATCATGCATACAAATTGAAGCAGTGATGGTGGAACAGCCTGTTCAATGCATCCTTCATGAAATGTACTGCTGAAGTGTGACTTGTGCTGAAGCATGTCCCGTCGTATCATCCCAGCAGCCTTGGCTAGATGGATCGCGTCACCGTATTTGCTTGCCTGTGCCAGGATTGAGCCAACATCCTTCTCAAAGGCCAATAGGATATCTCTTCATTGGTGATGAGCTTGCAGCTGGGGGATGTGAAAAAGCAGCTGGTCCTTCAGTCGAGTGTAAACGGGACTGCCCAGTATGAGCCAATAGGCCCGCTGCAGTTTCCTCCATTCATATATTCTTATGTTGTACAGTACCTCCATGGTCTATGTACACCGTATAGCTGCTTTGTCTCTACGCACCCTGACGTGTATGTCTGTATATCTATACACGTACTAAACTAAATGTAGTAATATCTTGATATGATTAACTGAGGACGGTAATACAATATATCACATTGAGCTATTTTTTATTAGAATTTCAATTACGAGTTTATATGCGTTGCTATAAATATATAAAATAATCGAATATAATTCAGTGATAAGATTTAAGCATAGCTGGGCTTAGGGGTGGGCTGGTAGCTGGGAGCAGGCTGGTAGCTGGGGGCGGGCTGGTAGCTGGGGGCGGGCTGGTGGGCTGGGTACTGGGCCTCACCCTCATATTCGACTTGAGCCACGTAGCCGGAGTCGCCGTTCACAGTATAGGTAACCCTCTGCAGACGACCGTCGGGAAGCTGAACATAATAAGATCCCTGAGTGTCGTAACCATCACGAGTTTCATCGTGGCCGAAGTCGTTGCTGGAGTAGTCGTCCTTCACTGCCCAGTTGTAGTTGTACTGTGCAGGACCCTTGAAATAAAAGTAAAAACTTGTCAATATTGTATTTTAATTTTATAAACTAGCAATGAGTAATATATTCTATTAGTATAACCATTTTGCTTGTGCTTAGGTAAAGCTGGATGATAAAAATTTACTTTTACTGATGAAATTTAATATGGCATATACACATGGCTTCAAACTAATCTTGAAGAGTTCAGGTCCTTAAATTTGCTTACCACAGGTTCAGGAGCATTGTAGGAGGGAGCTGGAGCATTGTAGGAGGGAGCTGGAGGGTTGTAGGGCGTAGGTGGAGGGTTGTAAGAAGGGCGGTTATCAGCCGAGATGAGGGCCACGAGGGCTGCTACGACGAAAACCTGTAAAGCATAATATACAGTTTGACATGAGTATTTCACTCGGGTGCTGGAACATAACACCAGCCACAGTTTACATGCAGGAAGAGATTATGTCTCAAAAGACCGTATACCTTGTAAGACATGTTATCTGTGGTCAGCGAAGATTGAGACTGATGTCCAGAGATGCCCAGACGCGGTATATATACTCCATACTGTACCCACCTTGATCTTCACGACATCATTAGTTTTGAAAGGGAAAGGAGGGTGGACCTTGGGACTGGTGGGAGTGACTACGCCTCTCTAGAGCCTCCACCATAAAGACCTTTCAATTACAGGGACTGGACGCTCCCAGAAGGTTCATATACAGTAGTTTATGCTCCAGTTGTATTCATTGTCACTTTTCCAGCTACTTATTGTTGAAGACGAATACCAATAATTTAATATATTATAATATTGCTAAGTGAATGGAATACTTAACTTGTCATTGTTTGAAAGTAATGTGTCCTTGCAAACTAACTGAAAAGGTATAATGATAGCCTAAAAACAAACCTGTAAAAGTGCCAAATCGCCCCCAACACCTGGGAGACGATCACTCCTCACCGTAATGCTAACCTAACCTAACCTAATCTAACCTACACGAGAGTTTCAATACTTTCGAATCAGCCCGACTGCATACCGAGGCAAACAAGCGCCAGTGCCGAAAAGACGTTGCCGCCGCCCCTCCCGCACTAGATGTGGCCCTCCACACGTGCAACATCTGTAAACGGCCTTGTTGGTTACGTGTCGGCCTCTCGAATCACCTCAGAGCTCACCAACGAAAGCGTCATCCTTAATAACTCGTATAGTTGTATCTTCATACTCGATTCCGAGAGAATTCAGAACGTTGATCAAGGCAGCTTCACTCCTCTAGTGTTCACAACCTCTGGTGGGATGGGACCAAGAGCAAGATGCTTCTACGCCAGACTGGCGGAAGTGATCTCCGAACAGAAGCAGCAGCCCAGAAGTTATGTTACAGCCTGGATGAGATGTCGACTGTCCTTCTCTCTCCTTCGGTCGGCTTTGCTCTGCCTCAGGGGAACGAGAGCTTCGGCCCCAAAGCCGAAAACTGCTGCAGATATTGATTATGAGGCTTCAGTCACTGAATGCCACATAGATCTGCGGCTCAACTAATTCAACACAGCTAGGATAACTACTTATGTATTAGGATATTTAATATTGAAGTAATAAAATGGCGGCGAAGGTGTGGCTATTGGGGGAGGCTGGAGGCCACGTTGAAAAAAAAAATAGTAGTAGTAGTAGCAGCCAAAAGAGAAAGTACCTCAGTTAAAACTAGCAAGTCCTATAAACATTGGAAGAAACTGATTTCATGTGTAGCAAGAGTGAGTGTGTGTGTGTGTGTGTGTGTGTGTGTGTGTGTGTGTGTGTGTGTGTGTAATTACGTACTGCAAATAGAAAATAAAACAAAACATATATGCATTTTGCATTTTGAACCCCAGTTTATATGTATCATTATTTCCAGACAATAGGATAAGAGGGATCGATGGCCTCTATATACATTGGAGGGAACCTAAGTACTGTATAATTGGTTTTCTTTGTAGTATGAGTTTGAGTGAGAAGTATGTATGTGGGGGAGGGGGAGGGGGGGTGCTGTACAACATAACACTTACCCTGCACTTACCACGGTGTTCGCCTAAGTGTATATCACTAGAAACATGACTTACTTTACCTGCATATGTTACGTGGTTCATTTAAAATAGACAAAGGAGTATACATAGTGTTGGCCCGGATACAATGCTCCAAATTTGGAATTGATCTTCTCTGCCGATGTCACAAGAGAAACACCAATGATGATTTTATTTCCGGTGTTAAGAAGTGGTGTATGTTTAAATTTAATCAAAATTATATTAATTTAAATTTATAGAGATTATAATAAGATAATTAACACAAGTAATTATATTTTTATTCGTTTAATATAATTCACTTAGGAAGTTTGAGTTACTATGTGGTATAGAGTTGAGTCATTCTGGAGGTGGTGGGTAAGGGCGATTGAGTCACTGTGAGGTATGGAGTTGAGTCATTCAGGGGGTGGTGGGTACGGGAGATTGAGTCACTGTGAGGTATAGAGTTGAGTCATTCTGGAGGTGGTGGGTAAGGGAGATTGATTCAATGTGCGGTCTGGAGGTGAGCCATTCTGAAGGTGATGGTTAAGGAAGGAGGGGGGAGATTGACTCACTATATTTTCATAAATAGATACACATTTGAGTAATAGTGGGGCAGTTAAATGCAAATTTTCAAGAGAATCATGCAAATGGTGATACAAGCACCAATTGTGGCATGGTAATTCTCTAATGGTTACTAGTCAAGTCTGTCTGATTGGTCATTTGAAATTCCAAGATAGCAGCCATTTTTCAAGATGGCCGCCATATTGACCTTCAAAAGTTGATTTTTCTTATAGAAATTGATGTAGTTGGTCAATCTGAGTGATCTTGGTGTCGATATGTATGTTTTCAAGGATTCTCAGATGATTTTTTTATAGTTTTAAGTTCATTGTAACATTTTTATCCACTTGGATGTTGGAAGATGGACACACTGGTCCCATGTAAGGACGTTTTGGCCGTAGTCGCAGTGGGGTTGTGGTCAATGTTGTCCACTGCTGAAGTCGTGAACAACTGCTTCCTCAAGAATGGTGGACACACCACTCCATCTTCCACGTACTGGCATACAACTGCTTCTCCTAGCTGGGCTGATAATTGTAGAACTCTGTCATATGAAATGCTGACCCCATTTTCATGCAGCATGTCGATGAGCTGCCTCTTTCTTGTCTTAGCAAACACAGACATGCCGACGTAGATAGCAAAAGGTGTCTCATGGTCCTTGTAGTGTCTGTGGATTTGTGTTCCTACCTTGTAGTTGGCAAAGCAGTTGTACTGTAAGAGCTGTGACATAGCAAGGTCAGACTTCGATGTGCCATGTTAGAGTTGGGATTTGATATCTGCACCATGTTCGATCATGCATACAAATTGAAGCAGTGATGGTGGAACAGCCTGTTCAATGCATCCTTCATGAAATGTACTGCTGAAGTGTGACTTGTGCTGAAGCATGTCCCGTCGTATCATCCCAGCAGCCTTGGCTAGATGGATCGCGTCACCGTATTTGCTTGCCTGTGCCAGGATTGAGCCAACATCCTTCTCAAAGGCCAATAGGATATCTCTTCATTGGTGATGAGCTTGCAGCTGGGGGGGTGTGAAAAAGCAGCTGGTCCTTCAGTCGAGTGTAAACGGGACTGCCCAGTATGAGCCAATAGGCCCGCTGCAGTTTCCTCCATTCATATATTCTTATGTTGTACAGTACCTCCATGGTCTATGTACACCGTATAGCTGCTTTGTCTCTACGCACCCTAACGTGTATGTCTGTATATCTATACACGTACTAAACTAAATGTAGTAATATCTTGATATGATTAACTGAGGACGGTAATACAATATATCACATTGAGCTATTTTTTATTAGAATTTCAATTACGAGTTTATATGCGTTGCTATAAATATATAAAATAATCGAATATAATTCAGTGATAAGATTTAAGCATAGCTGGGCTTAGGGGTGGGCTGGTAGCTGGGAGCAGGCTGGTAGCTGGGGGCGGGCTGGTAGCTGGGGGCGGGCTGGTGGGCTGGGTACTGGGCCTCACCCTCATATTCGACTTGAGCCACGTAGCCGGAGTCGCCGTTCACAGTATAGGTAACCCTCTGCAGACGACCGTCGGGAAGCTGAACATAATAAGATCCCTGAGTGTCGTAACCATCACGAGTTTCATCGTGGCCGAAGTCGTTGCTGGAGTAGTCGTCCTTCACTGCCCAGTTGTAGTTGTACTGTGCAGGACCCTTGAAATAAAAGTAAAAACTTGTCAATATTGTATTTTAATTTTACAAACTAGCAATGAGTAATATATTCTATTAGTATAACCATTTTGCTTGTGCTTAGGTAAAGCTGGATGATAAAAATTTACTTTTACTGATGAAATTTAATATGGCATATACACATGGCTTCAAACTAATCTTGAAGAGTTCAGGTCCTTAAATTTGCTTACCACAGGTTCAGGAGCATTGTAGGAGGGAGCTGGAGCATTGTAGGAGGGAGCTGGAGGGTTGTAGGGCGTAGGTGGAGGGTTGTAAGAAGGGCGGTTATCAGCCGAGATGACGGCCACGAGGGCTGCTACGACGAAAACCTGTAAAGCATAATATACAGTTTGACATGAGTATTTCACTCGGGTGCTGGAACATAACACCAGCCACAGTTTACATGCAGGAAGAGATTATGTCTCAAAAGACCGTATACCTTGTAAGACATGTTATCTGTGGTCAGCGAAGATTGAGACTGATGTCCAGAGATGCCCAGACGCGGTATATATACTCCATACTGTACCCACCTTGATCTTCACGACATCATTAGTTTTGAAAGGGAAAGGAGGGTGGACCTTGGGACTGGTGGGAGTGACTACGCCTCTCTAGAGCCTCCACCATAAAGACCTTTCAATTACAGGGACTGGACGCTCCCAGAAGGTTCATATACAGTAGTTTACGCTCCAGTTGTATTCATTGTCACTTTCCAGCTACTTATTGTTGAAGACGAATACCAATAATTTAATATATTATAATATTGCTAAGTGAATGGAATACTTAACTTGTCATTAATTGAAAGTAATGTGTCCTTGCAAACTAACTGAAAAGGTATAATGATAGCCTAAAAACAAACCTGTAAAAGTGCCAAATCGCCCCCAACATCTGGGAGACGATCACTCCTCACCGTAATGCTAACCTAACCTAACCTAACCTAACCTAACCTACACGAGAGATTCAATACTTTCGAATCAGCCCGACTGCATACCGAGGCAAACAAGCGCCAGTGCCGAAAAGACGTTGCCGCCGCCCCTCCCGCACTAGATGTGGCCCTCCACACGTGCAACATCTGTAAACGGCCTTGTTGGTTACGTGTCGGCCTCTCGAATCACCTCAGAGCTCACCAACGAAAGCGTCATCCTTAATAACTCGTATAGTTGTATCTTCATACTCGATTCCGAGAGAATTCAGAACGTTGATCAAGGCAGCTTCACTCCTCTAGTGTTCACAACCTCTGGTGGGATGGGACCAAGAGCAAGATGCTTCTACGCCAGACTGGCGGAAGTGATCTCCGAACAGAAGCAGCAGCCCAGAAGTTATGTTACAGCCTGGATGAGATGTCGACTGTCCTTCTCTCTCCTTCGGTCGGCTTTGCTCTGCCTCAGGGGAACGAGAGCTTCGGCCCCAAAGCTGAAAACTGCTGCAGATATTGATTATGAGGCTTCAGTCACTGAATGCCACATAGATCTGCGGCTCAACTAATTCAACACAGCTAGGATAACTACTTATGTATTAGGATATTTAATATTGAAGTAATAAAATGGCGGCGAAGGTGTGGCTATTGGGGGAGGCTGGAGGCCACGTTGAAAAAAAAAATAGTAGTAGTAGTAGCAGCCAAAAGAGAAAGTACCTCAGTTAAAACTAGCAAGTCCTATAAACATTGGAAGAAACTGATTTCATGTGTAGCAAGAGTGAGTGTGTGTGTGTGTGTGTGTGTGTGTGTGTGTGTGTGTGTGTGTGTGTGTAATTACGTACTGCAAATAGAAAATAAAACAAAACATATATGCATTTTGCATTTTGAACCCCAGTTTATATGTATCATTATTTCCAGACAATAGGATAAGAGGGATCGATGGCCTCTATATACATTGGAGGGAACCTAAGTACTGTATAATTGGTTTTCTTTGTAGTATGAGTTTGAGTGAGAAGTATGTATGTGGGGGAGGGGGAGGGGGGGTGCTGTACAACATAACACTTACCCTGCACTTACCACGGTGTTCGCCTAAGTGTATATCACTAGAAACATGACTTACTTTACCTGCATATGTTACGTGGTTCATTTAAAATAGACAAAGGAGTATACATAGTGTTGGCCCGGATACAATGCTCCAAATTTGGAATTTGATCTTCTCTGCCGACGTCACAAGAGAAACACCAATGATGATTTTATTTCCGGTGTTAAGAAGTGGTGTATGTTTGAATTGAATCAAAATTATATTAATTTAAATTTATAGAGATTATAATAAGATAATTAACACAAGTAATTATATTTTTATTCGTTTAATATAATTCACTTAGGAAGTTTGAGTTACTATGTGGTATAGAGTTGAGTCATTCTGGAGGTGGTGGGTAAGGGCGATTGAGTCACTGTGAGGTATGGAGTTGAGTCATTCAGGGGGTGGTGGGTACGGGAGATTGAGTCACTGTGAGGTATAGAGTTGAGTCATTCTGGAGGTGGTGGGTAAGGGAGATTGATTCAATGTGCGGTCTGGAGGTGAGCCATTCTGAAGGTGATGGGTAAGGAAGGAGGGGGGAGATTGACTCACTATATTTTCATAAATAGATACACATTTGAGTAATAGTGGGGCAGTTAAATGCAAATTTTCAAGAGAATCATGCAAATGGTGATACAAGCACCAATTGTGGCATGGTAATTCTCTAATGGTTACTAGTCAAGTCTGCCTGATTGGTCATTTGAAATTCCAAGATAGCAGCCATTCTTCAAGATGGCCGCCATATTGACCTTCAAAAGTTGATTTTTCTTATAGAAATTGATGTAGTTGGTCAATCTGAGTGATCTTGGTGTCGATATGTATGTTTTCAAGGATTCTCAGATGATTTTTTTATAGTTTTAAGTTCATTGTAACATTTTTATCCACTTGGATGTTGGAAGATGGACACACTGGTCCCATGGAAGGACGTTTTGGCCGTAGTCGCAGTGGGGTTGTGGTCAATGTTGTCCACTGCTGAAGTCGTGAACAACTGCTTCCTCAAGAATGGTGGACACACCTCTCCATCTTCCACGTACTGGCATACAACTGCTTCTCCTAGCTGGGCTGATAATTGTAGAACTCTGTCATATGAAATGCTGACCCCATTTTCATGCAGCATGTCGATGAGCTGCCTCTTTCTTGTCTTAGCAAACACAGACATGCCGACGTAGATAGCAAAAGGTGTCTCATGGTCCTTGTAGTGTCTGTGGATTTGTGTTCCTACCTTGTAGTTGGCAAAGCAGTTGTACTGTAAGAGCTGTGACATAGCAAGGTCAGACTTCGATGTGCCATGTTGGAGTTGGGATTTGATATCTGCACCATGTTCGATCATGCATACAAATTGAAGCAGTGATGGTGGAACAGCCTGTTCAATGCATCCTTCATGAAATGTACTGCTGAAGTGTGACTTGTGCTGAAGCATGTCCCGTCGTATCATCCCAGCAGCCTTGGCTAGATGGATCGCGTCACCGTATTTGCTTGCCTGTGCCAGGATTGAGCCAACATCCTTCTCAAAGGCCAATAGGATATCTCTTCATTGGTGATGAGCTTGCAGCTGGGGGATGTGAAAAAGCAGCTGGTCCTTCAGTCGAGTGTAAACGGGACAGCCCAGTATGAGCCAATAGGCCCGCTGCAGTTTCCTCCATTCATATATTCTTATGTTGTACAGTACCTCCATGGTCTATGTACACCGTATAGCTGCTTTGTCTCTACGCACCCTGACGTGTATGTCTGTATATCTATACACGTACTAAACTAAATGTAGTAATATCTTGATATGATTAACTGAGGACGGTAATACAATATATCACATTGAGCTATTTTTTATTAGAATTTCAATTACGAGTTTATATGCGTTGCTATAAATATATAAAATAATCGAATATAATTCAGTGATAAGATTTAAGCATAGCTGGGCTTAGGGGTGGGCTGGTAGCTGGGAGCAGGCTGGTAGCTGGGGGCGGGCTGGTAGCTGGGGGCGGGCTGGTGGGCTGGGTACTGGGCCTCACCCTCATATTCGACTTGAGCCACGTAGCCGGAGTCGCCGTTCACAGTGTAGGTAACCCTCTGCAGACGACCGTCGGGAAGCTGAACATAATACGATCCCTGAGTGTCGTAACCATCACGAGTTTCATCGTGGCCGAAGTCGTTGCTGGAGTAGTCGTCCTTCACTGCCCAGTTGTAGTTGTACTGAGCAGGACCCTGGAAATAAAAGTAAAAACTTGTCAATATTGTATTATAGTTTTACAGACTAGCAATGAGTAATATATTCTATTAGTATAACCATTTTGCTTGTGCTTAGGTAAAGCTGGATGAAAAAAAATTACTTTTACTGATGAAATTTAATATGGCATATACACATGGCTTCAAACTAATCTTGAAGAGTTTAGGTCCGTAAATTTGCTTACCACAGGTTCAGGAGCATTGTAGGAGGGAGCTGGAGCATTGTAGGAGGGAGCTGGAGGGTTGTAGGGCGTAGGTGGAGGGTTGTAAGAAGGGCGGTTATCAGCCGAGATGACGGCCACGAGGGCTGCTACGACGAAAACCTGTAAAGCATAATATACAGTTTGACATGAGTATTTCACTCGGGTGCTGGAACATAACACCAGCCATAGTTTACATGAAGGAAGAGATTATGTCTCAAAAGACCGTATACCTTGTAAGACATGTTATCTGTGGTCAGCGAAGATTGAGACTGATGTCCAGAGATTCCCTGACGCGGTATATATACTCCATACTGCACCCACCTTGATCTTCACGACATCATTAGTTTTGAAAGGGAAAGGAGGGAGGACCTTGGGACTGGTGGGATTGACTACGCCTCTCTAGGGCCTACACCATGAAGACCTTTCAATTACAGGGACTGGACGCTCCCCGAAGGTTCATATACAGTAGTTTACGCTCCAGTTGTATTCATTGTCTCTTTTCCAGCGACTTATTGTTGAAGACGAATACCAATAATTTAATATATTATAATATTGTTAAGTGAATGGAATACGTAACTTGTCATTGTTTGAAAGTAATGTGTCCTTGCAAACTAACTGAAAAGGTATAAGGATAGCCTTAAAACAAACCTGAAAAAGTGCCAAATTGCCCCTAACACCTGGGAGACGATCACTCCTCACCGTAATGCTAACCTAACCTAACCTAACCTACACGAGAGTGTCAATACTTTCGAATCAGCCCGACTGTATACCGAGGCAAACAAGCGCCAGTGCCGAAAAGACGTTGCCGCCGCCCCTCCCGACTAGATGTAGCCCTCCACACGTGCAACATCTGTAAACGGTCTTGTTGGTTACGTGTCGGCCTCTCGAATCTCCTCAGAGCTCACCAACGAAAGTGTCATCCTTAATAACTCGTATAGTTGTATCTTCATACTCGATTCCGAGAGAATTCAGAACGTTGATCAAGGCAGCTTCACTCCTCTAGTGTTCACAACCTCTGGTGGGATGGGACCAAGAGCAAGATGCTTCTACGCCAGACTTGCGGAAATGATCTCCGAACAGAAGCAGCAGCCCAGAAGTTATGTTACAGCCTGGATGAGATGTCGACTGTCCTTCTCTCTCCTTCGGTCGGTTTTACTCTGCCTCAGGGGAACGAGAGCTTCGGCCCCAAAGCCGAAAACTGCTGCAGATATTGACTATGAGGCTACAGTCACTGAATGCCGCATAGATCTGCGGCTCAACTAATTCAACACAGCTACGATAGCTACTTATGTATTAGGATATTTAATATTGAGGTAATAAAATGGCGGCGAAGGTGTGGCTATTGGGTGAGGCTGGAAGCCGCGTTGAAAAAAAAATAGTAGTAGTAGTAGCAGCCAAAAGAGAAAGTACCTCAGTTAAATCTAGCAAGTCCTATAAACATTGGAGGAAACTGATTTCATGTGTAGCAAGAGTGAGTATGTGTGTGCGTGTGTCTGTGCGTGTGTGCGTGTGTGTGTGTGTGTGTGTGTGTGTATGTGTGGCGTGTGTGTGTGGGGGGGGGCTCTGTACAACATAACACTGCTGTATTACTTACTTTACTTACATATAAATAAGTTATTTAGTTGGAATAGACTAAGAGTATATATTATGCTCGTCTGAACACAGTACTCCAGATGTAAGAAATTTGGTCATCTCCACCGACTGAGCATGAGAATTACCTCGGTTATTTTATTTCCGATGTTAAGATTTGACGTTTGTTTTAATTTAATCAAGTTAATTTTAATATAAGTTATTGTAATTTTGTTTTAAATCGGCAAAAATTATGCATCTCTTCATAAGTAGAAACTGCTCACGACATATTGTCGTTGATATCAGGAAAAGGATTAGTCATGACTTGTTTTGCCCCGGGTTGGCTGTCTTGAGGACTTCTGTGCCGCCAGATTTAATGCCAAACTAACTAAAAAAAATCTTAATTTTCTATAAGATTTTTCTTTATTTGGACTATCTTATTGGAGTAAAAATCAGGAACATCCTTCAGCGGATATAAGACAGAGAGACGAAGGTAACAGTCAATGATATGATTATAAATTTATTACCAAACAAAGATTTTAGAATCAGTCACACAATAGAAATATATATAACTGCAAATTCTTTATATATTACTAATATATTTAAAATCCACCCAAATAAATACACACTATCACTTGAGTACTAAAAAAGTGAAACACCTTCATTACGTCACTAGCACCACCTTCGAGTCGTCTCCGAGCCCTCAGGCCACAAGTGTATTTATGAGAGAAGCACACTACTATTATGTCAACATCACCTCCCTCAGGCCAGGTGGACACCAAATATGGTTATTTTAATTTTGGTCCCTTTCTTTAATTTAATCACAATACGGATAGTTTAACAAGGACTAGATGAAATAAATTAGCTCACTTTACTTTAGTGGATAAAGACCGACTTCTTTTTTCATTCACTATTTTTTTCTGGCAAGGCCGACCAAAAATAAATTTCACTTGTGAGGCTTTTGTGCGTCTTTAAATGACAAGAAGAATATTGGAAGTACCAGAGGTACGAAATCCCTTGACGTGGAGGCAAGACCACGCGAGGTCAGGTCACGAAAATGAGTTTATTAGTCAAGTATTTTTCTTTTTTTTTAAATATATATATATATATATATATATATATATATATATATATATATATATATATATATATATATATATATATATATATATATATATATATATATATATATAACATGATGAGCGAAGTGAATGTAGCCCTAGGGCAAGTTGAGACATGTGTGACCTTAATGGTAATTTTTTAAATTTTACTCTTGCTCTTGACATACTGTAAAACAAATATGTAAATTATATTTCTGAATCTAGAAACACAACATATATTCAATCATTTAACCCATTTTTTTGTGACAGCTACATCGATTTATTTATGCTTTTTTTTTTTTGCTTGTATCTATTTGGATGTCATGTGAGTTATATTCAGTACTCGCAGGTTTAATATTGATAATGTGTTGGGGAGTGATCAAAACCTTCCTCAGCCCTGGTCTTCAGAAGAACGATGAATCAATGGTCGTTGGTCACAAATTGATCCTTAAGTCATTTTGTGATATTGGTCCCAAAACTTTAAGTTGTGTTCAGGCATAGATCGTATGAAGAATAGTTAGTCATCATAGCCGTATTAAAAGAATAACAAGATAGAACATGGAGGTAAACTGAAAGTGTTTCACACACTCGTAAGTAGAGTTTTGTTCCTCAAATTAAAGATTCTGTTTCCACATTAATGAGTGGATCAGGGAGAGAAGACCAAAGACAATATAAACATTAAAGTGGAAGGATGCGGTTAAGGCAGAGTCGGGCAGAACGTCGGATTGAGAGAAGTGGCTGACGACAAAAGACCAGGGCGGAGACTCATTTGAGAAGTCGACCCCCATTGGTAGGTCGTAGTTAGTAGGCAGCTATCAAACAGGGAGGTACTACCGCCTGGGAAGATATTGGAAGCATAATGTATTGTCTAATGGTAGACCCTGCTGCCATATGGCATCACGAAAATTGTGACCTAGTTCCAGGTTGCTGATCTGACTTTCTGCCTCATTTACACACAAATTGCAGGGTCTCAATTGTTTCTCTTACTTTGACAACACAACATACATTTATCGTTTCTCACTCTTGATCTTAATTTTAATTTTTTATTTATGGTTCTTTATTATTATTATTATTGTTATCTTTATTATTTAATTTTTAATTTTGTATTTTTATTACTGTATAAATTTTATTTACTATGAATTATTATTAATATTATTATTATTATTATTATTATTAGTATTATTATTATGAGGGTCAGTGACCTGTGCCCGAGTGGGCTAATTCACGTAAAAAAAAAATATAAAAATATATAAATAAAGAAATATATATATATATATATATATATATATATATATATATATATATATATATATATATATATATATATATATATATATATATATATATATATATATAATATATATATATATATATATATATATATATATATATATATATATATATATATATATATATATGAATAATTAAAGGAAGAAGACGTTATCTTAAAGTTAAATCCAGGTTATGGATTTATTAACATCATGAAGAATGTAACCTTGGGAACCTATCACATCTGTGAAGACACACTGAGGCGGGTGAAACTAATCTGTATTATGGTTCTCTTCTTCCAGCAGTGACCAACAGAATAATATTGTATCTCATGTAGTTAGCTCACTAAGGCATACAAGTAAGAGAAATCATGTTATAAGACAAGATACATTATTTGTTCATCTGCGAAATCATGTAGAAAGATTATTTCATGATACTGGTGTACGGTCCAGCGGTACTTGAAATTTACCAGGTTTATGCCATAGAACAATGTAGTCACGACTACTTGTTTCCGTGAGGGAATTTTAGAATATGTGTCCAATAGACAGTAAACGGCCTGAAGATATATCCTGTTGGACTATGTACTTTCTTCTCAGGATACCCATGACTAACCCTGATGGGTGAGAATTGATAGAAATTACCTTTAACATCCAGTCCCGACATTCTTTAAATTTTCTGGATCTCGCACTAAGGAGGAGGGGGTTGGATATGGGGTGTTGATAGGACACGCCGAAGAAAACTAACTGAGAATCAAAATCATGAGATGTGGACGAGTTTGTGTTAATTTTTACTTACTTTTATCCTCTTCGCCGCTTGGACGGTCGGCTACGTCTCTGTTACGCACTCTTGGCAAGTACTGGCTCCTGAATGTAGCTGAACCTGTTCCAGTGTTAGTCAAGTCTGGTCTTGAAAGAGCTCACATTCGGTCCCGCCACAACACTATGGCAGTATGTTCCAAGAGTTCACAATTTTTCTCTCCGAAAAGGTTTGCCCTCACTGTTTTCTGGACTTGTAGCTTCTTCAACCTTGAGGTGTGACTCCTTGTGGGGCAGTCGTCCGGTAGCATCTTATACACCTTAAAGAGGTCACCCCTTGCCCGTCTGTAGTATAAGCTAGGCAGTTGCAGGCTCTCCAATGTCTCTGGATAACTGAAGTGTCGAAATGCAGGCACCTTTCTTGTGGGCCACCAGACAGTCCCTAGCATATCTCTGGGACCAGACAGGGTGACAGTATTCCAGGCGGGAAAGCATCCCACTCTTGATGATCGTTACGAGGGACGACCCGTCTAGATATCTCCTCGCAGTGGCCCGAAAACTTCAGTTCATTTTCAACATACACACCCAGGTCCTTTTCGTATTCTGTTTCTATTAATGCTATTTCGTCTAGTAATATCATGGTGTATGAAGGATGGTAATATAAAAAATCACTTTTAACTCATTTTCATATATTTTTTTAATGACTTAAGAATTTATATGCATTTCTATAAAAAAACCCGTTTATTACTCAGTTATTAAATTTAAGCGTAGCTGGGCCTAGGTGCGGGCTGGTAACTGGGGGCGGGTTGGTAGCTTGGGGCGGGCTGTTGGGCTGGGTACTGGGCTTCACCTTGGTATTCGACCTGAGCCAAGTAGCCAGAGTCGCCGTTCACGGTGTAGGTAACCCTCTGCAGACGACCGTCGGGAAGCTGAACATAATAAGATCCCTGAGTGTCGTAACCATTACGAGTTTCATCGTGGCCGAAGTCGTTGCCGGAGTAGTCGTCCTTAACTGCCCAGTTGAAGTTGTACTGAGCAGGACCCTGGAAATCGAAGTCAAACTTGTCAGCATTGGAAATGTATCTTAGAAACTGGCTACGAGTAATGTTCTTATTAATACAAACATTCTGTGTGCGTTTGCGCTTAGGTTTATGCTGGATGGTAAAAATGTACTGTTATTGTTAATTTATATTTAAAGGTAAATGCAAATGGCTGCAAACTAAATTTTACGTGGTTTAGTCCGTAAATGTGCTTACCACAGGTTCAGGAGCATTGTAGGAAGGAGCTGGAGCATTATAAGAGGGAGCTGGAGGGTTGTAGGGTGTAGGTGGAGGGTTGTAAGAAGGGCGGTTATCTGCTGAGATGACGGCCACGAGGGCTGCTACGACGAAAACCTGTAAAGTTTAACATACATTTTTACATGAGCATTTCACTCGAGTGCTGGAACATAACACCAGCGAATGCCTACAAGAAGCAAAAAATAGCCTTAAAAGACCATGTACCTTGTAAGACATGTTATCTGTTGCCAGGGAACAGTGAGACTGATGCCCGGAGATGCCCAGACGCGGTATATATACTGTATACTCCACCAACCTCGATCTTCATGACATCATCAGTTTTGAAAGGGAAAGGAGGGTGAACCTTGACACTGGCGAGAGTGACCACGCCGCTCTATATACGCCTCACAATTACGGGACGTGACGCTCTCAGAAGGTCTTATATATTGTACTTACGCTTCAGTTGGTTTTATGACCAATTTTCCAGTCACTAATTGTTTGAAGATGGGCCCAGGAATTGAATAAATCTCACCATTTATACATTGATAAGCTGGTTGTGTGGGTATTGTTTGAAAACATGCGCACTTGAAACTGCTTATGTAACTGTACTTGTTTGTACACCTTTGTTGTATAAGTACTTGTTCTTGTATTTTTACCTGTATTTGTACATGTATTTGTTTTTCTTTGCATACTTTTACTTGTATTGGTACCTGTAGTAATGTATATACCTTACTTGTAGTCAAACTTGTTTTTACTATTTTACCTATATATTTTATATGACCCCTACTTATATTTATATCAGTAATTGTATTTATTCCTATACTTGTATTTGCAAATATACCGGTGAATTTGTTCTGTCAATTATTTGAACGAGATGATGTAAGTAAAATTATTTTTTCAAATTGAACGAATATAACCAGAAACTATAGTGTAAGGTAAATTTAATGGTTGTGTTTACATCATGAAGCTCTCTTTAGGTAAAAGTGACGAAAAATAGATCTAATTTCTATATAAAACGTACCAATCAAAGGTAATGAAATTTATCATCTTAAACTATGACAATATTTCATCTTTACCAAAAATCAAACTCTGCATTTCTTTTAGATTTTATTATTGTTTTTTTTTTAATGCCTGTTACATCTTTAAAAAAATCCAAAGTGTACAAACTTCTACTATCGTTTCATAATCTCTTTACTCACTTACAGATGGTCTCTGTTTTAATGATGCTCTCATGGACTATATATATTTTTTGTCTTAATAACAGAAGCTCAAACAGGTTCTCGCTGTGTTTCATAACTGGGTGTTCCCTTAAGAGGTTCACCTCACTGGTCTACAAACACAATGCCTCGTAATGCGGACGTGATTCTTTTTTAACAGTATTAATTTCATTATGATTGACCATTCAAACCATCCAATTAATCTTTACTGTAGCTGAAACCTCTTAATTATCCTTTAAGTTTCATATAACTGAATTAAGTTTCCTATAGTTAATAATTCCTAACCTAACCCAAATCTACTTCATGATATTTTTTTTATATATCTTTCATGTTAATTTATACTCATAAGTGATGTGTACCTTATAGTCAATGACTAATAACAGTTTCTTACGCTATACCTTATATTTTTATCTAAACTTAATGACATTAGTTGTTATGAGGAACTAAGTGTCTCTTTTCCTCCAGTGTACGGCCATAATCTGTCGACTGATCAACATTTATGACAATTTTATCCTTCTTTTTCCCTCTTGACTCTTATTTTAACCTAACTCCTTTCTGGTAAACATATTCTCTTCTTATTTTTTTTTTCTTCGGTACAGTGGACTTAGCCATTACTGTAGCTTTACCATACCAAAAGATATAAGTTGCAGACAGTTGAAACAAAGTAAATTTCCGTTAACTGGGAGAAATATAAAGGCATATCGGACCATCATCAATATGATTTTTTGATTAGCTATTCCAGCTTTAAACTCTTGCAAAAATAACAAACGAGAGATTTTATTAATCCTAGTGCTCCTCATAAATGAACACCTCAAACCTACATTTTATTTTGATTGGTGAAATATTACGGATCAACAAACAAAATATGCTGTGTTGTTTGATATCTTGAGAGTCGAAGTTGACCCTCAAAGATATTAATAAGATAAATAGATTATTAAGTAAATAGGTAAACAATAGGCATATAGAACACGGTTTATAATTTGATCATAATTACAACTAATCGGATCGGAAACAGTTCACTATTATTATTATTATTATTATTATTATTATTATTATTATTATTATTATTATTATTATTATTATTATTGTTGTATTTTATTTACAACAAAAGTACCTCAGCTAAGACTAATTGGAGTATTGTAGTATCTCAGTCTCTCAGGCTTTGGATGAAAACTATAAATAACTGGCTTCATGTGGGTGTGTGTGTGTGTGTGTGTGTGTGTGTGTGTGTGTGTGTGTGTGTGTGTGTGTGTGTGACCGCTGTACAACATAAAATAGCTTTCACTTACCACGGTGTGTGCTTAAGTGTATAATATCAATAACATTCATTTCTTTATCTACATGTATTAAGTTGTTCATATGGAATAGACTTGGAAGTATATATTGTGTTGGTCTGGAAACACTGCTCCGGCACCAAGGAAGTTGTTCATCACCGACTGGACATAAGAAACACCTAAGACGATTTATTTGCTAGTGGTGTAAATTTAATTGTATATGGTTTACGATAAGATAATTAACACAGGTGATTTTCTATTTCATTCGTTAAAAGTTACGCACCTTTATACGTATCTGCATAAATGGAAACACATCTGAGTATGAGATGTGAGATGGTTAAGTGTACACGGGAGCTGGCTGAGAGGCGGGGTACTGGGCCTCTCCCTCGTATTCGACATTGGCTATGAAACCAGAGTCGCCGTTCACGTTGTAGGTGACCCTCTATGAACGACCGTCGGGAAGCTGCATGTAATAGTGCCCCTCAGTGTCGTAACCATTACGACCTTCACTGTGGCCGAAGTCGTTGGCGAGGTAGTCGTCCTTCACATTCCACTCAAAGTTGAACTGGGCAGGACCCTGAGTGTTAAAGTTAACATATATATTAAACGATAAATTCAGCCTTGCAACACAATGCATTTTAAAAGGGAAATGTTATCACTAGAATTTTCTCTTGGATTAAAACTGTTTTTATCTTCAAATTTGAAAGTATTTTAAAGGGCGGTCAAAGATTATATAGACATCTTGTGTGTAGTAGAAGTGATTCTCACTGTAAAGGTAAATAATTGGACACGGCAACTCTATATTGATTGCGGTCGGAAGGCTTGGGAAGACTTACGGTTGGGGCGGGGACGTTGTGGGCCGTAGGAAAGGTTACCATCAGCTGCGACGACGACCAGGAAGGCGACCACGACGAAAACCTGAAAAAATTGCAGTAACATTGCTAATGAAAATAATGAATATTAATGAAGTAAAGTAAAATACTGAGGCCAATAAAGCAATGATTTTTCCTTAAATACAGTGTCTACGATATTCCATCATTACCAACACTTACTGTATAGGTCCATGGCCCTACCTTATAAGCCATGTTGACAATATTCTAAGAAGAGTGAGAATGATGCTCAGCGATGCACATACTTCGTTTTATATGCCGGAGGCTGCACCCAACCGCAATTGTCGTGACATCATCAGTATTGCAAGCGAAAGCAGACGCGCCCTTGACACCCAAGAGAGGCAGTGACCACGTTAATTCGTCCGCCACGATCCCAACCACCAGCCCTACTTCACCACCACGCTAGCCTCACCACCGCCCGGGGCTAGTGGCCACAAACTTACAAACTCCGAAAGTTCTGTGACCTCACTCCGAATAATGACGTAGATATCCGTCGTGTTTCAGTTTGCTTATTGCAGTTCAGTTGATTACGTGGGGGACTGTATGAGCTATTTTTTCTCCATTTTTGGGGCTATGTCTGACCATCATCCTTACACCGTTATAGACCAAACCATAATTCTCACAGGGTTAAATCACCACCTTTTTTTTTCCTAAAATCAGTCAACAGGTACACAGATAAGTCACAGGTTAAGGAGGTGACAGAGATCACTACACCTGTGCCCATATTACTCGATACATTACTTCATTCTTGAGTTTATTTCACCGAAATCCTGTGACTTTAAATCCCTTTCTATTATATAATCTAGTGTGATTTTTTTATGGTTCCGATTACATAAGAGCTTCGCCATTTTTCAAAATATATAGATATAAATAAAAACCCTGCAAGCAAAAGCACACGCACACACACACACACACACACACACACACACACTTATAATGTCTGGCTCGAGTCAGAAGCAACTACAAAAAGACCTTCATCATGCTCCTTACTTTCGACTAAGAAGATAAAGTTGAGGAAAAGGAGGAAGTAGGAAAAGACGGGGAAATAGAAAGACTAAGAATAGGAGGGAGGAAGAAATGCGGAGAAGAAGGAAGAAAGGCGAAGAAAGAGATAAAAATTAAGAGGAATGGGAGGAGGAGGAAGGAATGAATAGAACAGAACGGAGGATGAGAAGAAATAATAATAAAGGACGTAGGAGAAGAAGTGGGAGGAGTAAAGGATAAGATAAAGATGAAGAGAAAGAGGAAGAAGATGAGCAAAGAAGTGCAAGGGAGGAGGAGAACAGTAAGAAGAAAACGAAAACAGAGAATGATGACCAGAAGGGGTAGAGGAGAAGTAACAAGGAGCACAAGAAAGAGGGAGCCGAGGAACAAGAAAAAGGCCCTGTGCCTTGGTGGGCTAATTCCCGTAAAAAAAAATAATAAATAAAAATATAAATATGATAGAAGCAGTGTGGTACGGATAGGCTCGATGAACAGGCTTTTAGTGTCCTTGTGGTCTAGAGGTAACGTTCCACGGTCACACACATAAGATCGTGGGTTCGAGTCCTGGCGGGTTGAGGTTGTTGTATATATATATATATATATGAGGTTTCTTT